ACTGTGGTCAATGTCATGAGACAAAGTGTATGTGAACTGCTGTGTGGAAAGTGAATTTGCTCTGTAAATCTTCACCCAAATCACAATGAAAATAAAAAATAATGTGAATACAAACTATAATTTTCAGTGTGTATGGCACATAATGGAGGTTTAATAAATATTTGAATAAATGAATGAATATCCAAGAATTATTTTTATAAGTATATTTCTGACTTAGAAACAATTGTAAAAGAAGTAATTATACCTGAGAGCAGCTAGAATTAAATGACCAGCTCTGATCAAGTCTCATAGTTCTCAGTACACTATTTTTCTTTCTCATTGATTTTTGCTGCTATGTCCCAACTCATCATTATAATGAGATTCCCAAAGGTTAATATGTATTAACACCAAAAAGAAGTATCAAATAATTAATACTTTATTTACAAGTAAAAGTTCTGCATTTTTACTTACAAGGTATTGCCATCAAAAGAACTTTATGTGAAACAAGCAATTTGACTCTTAGCTAAATACTCTTTTCCCACAAAAACGAATGCTAGTAAAAAGTTTTCTTACACTTTGTACCTTGGTAAGATGAACTATTTAAATTTTTAAAAAACAGTAGTTATCTTCTGAGACCAATGTTTAATACTTTACAATAAAGATGGATTAGAAATAGACCAACTATTGGACATTTTATTGATTCAATGGGAAATTATTGTTGTAGGCCAAATAGAAAAAGAAAGCAGACTATTTCAGTTGAACACTACACCCAAGAAAATGTGATGTAACAAAGCTAACTGCTAATTGTATTATGTCCACTATAGCTTTTTTTCTTAAAAATGTTATTTCTTAATGCCTCATACCAGAAACTATTGGGACTGAATAATTATTTCAAACAGACTACATATTTATAGTTTCTTATAAATGTTGTTTAACTTTTTCATTGCACAAAATTCCATATGTAAGTACCCTTTGATATGAAAATTTGATATAGAATTTCACCAGGATAGGATTTATATATCAAAGAATTAATCAATACCTATGCCTGGCATGTTGTTGTTGTTGTTGCTGTGTGCTGTCGATTCGGACCTGACACACAGCAACCCCTCCTTGGGTTTCCGAGGTGGTATCACTACAGAAGTAGATTGCCCAACCTTCCTTCCGAGCAGTGGCTGGTGGGTTTGAACTCTATGCCACTAAAGAGGTCAAATCCTTCCTTGATTTTATCAAAACATTCTTCCCAAGTTATCAATATTATATCTAAATGAGCTGAAGTTTTTTATTATCTTGGGAAATCAAAGTCAGGGAAATAATAATAGTTCTAACAATAGGCTGAGGAAAAAGGAGAAGTGATGGAAGAAATTGATCTCTTCAAAAATTCATTTTGTTAATTAGTGTACTACCAAATTCATACTCGTTATATTGTAGGCTGGCTTAGGAAAGATGCTGTGACAGTGTTTCCTACAGCTTCTTGCCCTATAAATCTGTTCAACCAAATACCACTTCTTGGCTTTCAATTTTTTTTTTTTTACTACTTTATGAATCCTATTGTTTTCTAAATGACTATTTAATAGCACAACTCTAATAGCATATTGGAAGTTAATGAGAAAGTAAGATTCCACAGATAGGTATTTTCAGTTTGCTTTTTAGGAATACATATATGGTAATGAAAGCTTGCATAAGGAATGAAAAGTGGGTGGAATTTTGTTAATTGAAAACCTTTTTTTTTTTTTT